TTTGGATGCGTTTGTACAGCACCTAAACAAGTTGCATTTCTTACCTATTATAAACAAAACATCAATCAACAAAAACAAAAAAAAAAAAAACAAAAAAAATAAAAATAAAAATAAAAATAAAAAGTAAATGTTTGTGGTTTGTGTATAGAAGGAGACAGCAGCAGGAATAGAGGAGGCGGTGATAAAGGAGTTCAATACACTAGCTGCGGTGTATAGGCAGCTCCCCGCTTCTTTTTTATTTGTCGATCAGATTCCTTTCTGTGGCCGCCCCGCATACACCCAAACCCTAAACCCTAGCCCCCAAACCCTAAACCCTCAAGAACAAACCCTAAACCCTCAAGAACAAAACCTAAACCCTAAACAACAATACACCAATACACACACACAAAACAACAACTCACCAACCACCACCACACAGGGAAGCAGCCAAACCCTCAAACCACAAATCTCCGCTGATGGTGAGCTCAGGGCCTAGGGTTTAGGGTTTAGGGTTTTGGGTTTGGGGTTTGGGGTTTAGGGTTTAGGGTTTAGGGTTTAGGGTTTAGGGTTTAGGGTTTGAAGTTTAGGGTTTGGGTTTTTCGTTGGGATTAGGGTTTAGGGTTTGTGTTTAGTGCCGATCACCACCCATAGAAGTACTCGTACGCAGGCTGTGCTGATGGTTTAGGGTTTAGGGTTTAGGGTTTAGGGTTTAGGGTTTGGGTGTTTGCTTGTGATTCAGATTTGTTGGATTTGTCCTCGTCCGGCCAGCCTCTCCTCAGGTGCAAATAAATAGGGTCTAGGGTTTAGGGTTTAGGGTTTGGGTTAGGGTCTAGGGTTTAGGGTCTAGCGTTTAGGGTTTAGGGTTTAGGGTTTAGGGTTAGGGTTTAGGGTTTAGGGTTTAGGGTGTATAGGGTTGCGTTCCTAACCCTAAATCCCTAGAACCAATAAAACAAACAAATAAACAAAAAAACAAACAAACAAACAAACAAACAAACAAATAAACAAACAAACAAACAAACAAATAAACAAACAAACAAACAAATAAACAAAAAAAAAACAAACAAATAAACATAAAAACAGACAAAAACTTTTTTTTTTGTTTTTTTTTTCTCTAGGCTGCGCCCCCGCGAGCCGATGAGCTGCACGGCCTTTCAGCAAATGTGGGAGGAGGCGGCGCCTCTGCATGCAGCAGTTTTCACAGCAGCACAGCAGCAGCAGCAGCAGCAGCAGCAGCTGTTGCTGCAGCAGCAGCAGCAGCAGCAGCAGCAGCAGCAGCAGGCTATGCCGTCGCTTGAGCAGCTCGAGGCAGCAGCAGCTGAAGTAAACATCGCTACAATGGTGAGACGGAGAAACACTATGGATGAGGGTTTAGGGTTTAGGGTTTAGGGTTTGGGGTTTAGGGTTTAGGGTTTAGGGTTTAGGGTTTGGGGGTGGTTGCTGCAGGCCAGCGGGGTGCTGGAGAACGATGTCTTAAAGCTCTTCCTCTACGCAACAGACGACACCAAGTGAGTTTTCTAGGGTTTAGGGTTTAGGGTTTAGGGTTTGGGGTTTAGGGTTTAGGGTTTAGGGTTTAGGGTTTAGGGTACACTGCAGAGTTGAAGGATTAGGGTTTAGCGTTTCCTCCGCAGACCCTTAGCGTTTATACTTTCCTGTTTAGGGTTCATACTTCAGGGTCTAGGGTTTAGGGTTTAGGGTTTAGGGTTTAGGGTTTAGGGTTTAGGGTTTAGGGTTTGTGTGCAGCATAACATATTTATGTGAGTTGCTGCTGCTGCCTTCTCCTCATTCACTGCAACTACAAATACGATTGAGCCCCCAACAAAACAAACAAAAAGCAGAGGCGTTCGCTCAGCTCCTTTATAAAACCCTAACCACCAAGGGGTTGTTTCCTCTCTAGGGTTTAGGGTTTAGGGTTTAGGGTTTAGGGTTTAGGGTTTAGGGTTT